GAGGCAGTAGGGCTGTTTGAACACAGCATACATAGAGCACCTGAACTTGGTGACTTTTGAGTCGACTCAAAAGTCACATAGCATACATAGAGCACCTGAACTTGGAGAGAATGACGGGGGAATGACTAGGACGGGCAGCGTGAGACCAGGGCAAGGGCAGGGGAACCTGAGGGCAGGGTAGGGACTCTAGTCCCCATTCCCACCCACCCCATCCCACCCAACCCCCACACACCCCTCCATATCACGCCCCACTCCCCCCTCTTGCTCCAGCTGCTACACCCCAGTCACCCGCAGCTCTTGAAGAGTATTTTCGATATGCTTGGCCAGTCTAGCGCCAGCAGTGGTGGTGGAGGCGAGGAGGTGGAGGCCAGTTCTCTGCTCTTATCACCATCCCACCCAACCCAACCCAACCCAACCCAACCCAGCCAAACCCAACCGAACCCAACCCAACCCCCACACGTGTCACTTCCCCCACTGAAAATGCTCACCCCCAGCTCTTGAAGCGTGTTCTTGATGCGCTTGGCCATTCGGGCGCCAGCAGTGGAGGCGAGCAGGGTGGAGGCCAGACCTCTGCTCGCTTCGTAACATACCCCTTCTCCCCCCCCCCCCTATTCTTATTCCTATACACCTCACTCACCCCCAGCACTTGAAGCGTGTTTTCGATGCGCTTGGCCATTCTAGAGCCAGCAGTGGTGGTGGAGGCGAGCAGGGTGGACGCCAGTTCCCTGCCCTCATCATAATCCTCTTCCCCCCTCCCATTGTTCTGTCTCCTATACACCACCTCACTCACCCCCAGCTCTTGAAGCGTGTTTTCGATGCGCTTGGCCATTCGGGCGCCAGCTGTGGTGGTGGAGGCGAGCAGGGTGGACGCCAGACGGGGACCTCTCACGAACACACGCGGCTGTTGATGAGGGTTGGGAGGCGAAAGAGGCAGGGCAGCGGGGTGGGGGGAATGTGGAGGAAAGGGGGAGATAGAACACGGCAGTGGCAAGAGGAGGGCATAGGCCTGGTGCGGGCACCTGACAGATAATCTTATTTTTGAGTGCCTGGTGATGCGGGCACCTGACAGAAATCTATCTTCAGAGTGAGAATGACTGACCTCCATTCTCATTCTCAGGGTGTAGGCCTGGTGCGGGCACCTGACAGACAAATCTTATTTTTGAGTGAGAATGACCACATTTCTCATTCAAAAGGGTGTGGGCCAGGCACAAGCACACGCAAGCACCTCACCAACAATCTCAAACTCGTGATTCTTTAAAAGTATTTCAGATTTTAGGCGGACGGTGTGAAGAGAGAGGACTGGGCCAACACCCATTCCAACTCACCACTCTCGCATTGCCAGCCTGGGCTGACACCGGAGCAGCAAGGGCGCCCCGGGACCCTCCCCCTCCTGCTGACACCGCATGCTGACGTGTTCGCTCAGGTGCATGAGCTGGCGCCACGTCAGCATGGGCAGCTGCTGACGTGGACGCTGATGCGGGCACAGTTGGAGGTGCCACGTGGGAGTCTTGCAGAGGAGTGACTGCTACTGCTGGTGGTGCTAGAGAGGAGAGGGTGGGGGATGGGGGAATGGAGGCCTGTGGGGAAAAAGGGGGGGAGAGCAAAGGGGGGAGCAGAGAACCTGGTGGGGTGAGCCTTCATATAGCATGCAGTTCTGAACGATGAGCAATCTAGGAAAGGAGGGGTTGCTGCTGCGGCGGGTGCTTCTTGGGAGGAGAGGATTCCGAAATAGACTCAGAACTAATACGAAGCAGCTGGTGTTATGATTAGGAATCTCCCCAAGATCCACCCTTCTATTTGCAGCAGTACCATCATGACAATCCACACACAAAAAAAAAAAAAAAAAAATGTGTTACAAACAATCAGTGGTGCTGCTATCAGCTTTGCCCTCCTACTCACCAGCTTTGCCCTCCTACTCACCAGCTTCACAGTTTGCTGCTTTGCCTGCCGCCTCCGTGCCTCCACCTCCCTCTCTCCCGCCTCCCTCTCCCTCTCCCTCGCCCGTTCCTCCCTCTCCTCCCTCTCCCTCTCCCTCTCCCTCTCCTCTCTCTCCCGCTCCCCTCTCTCCCTCTCCTCCCTCTCTTTCTCCTCCCTCTCCCTCTCCCTCTCCCTCGACTGCATTCTCTCCTTGTGCTCTTTCAGTTGCTCGTCACTCCACCCCCGGGCTTTAAGGATTCTCTCCGCCTCTGCCAGCACCTGTGTGATCAAATCAAATCAGGGAAAGGGAGCAGCAAGCACAGAGACATCTCAAACCCTCTAACCCTACACAGAATTCTCTCCTCCTGCTCGTTCAGCTGCTCGTCACTCACTCCACCCTGGGGGGCCTTGGGAACCCTCGCCGCTTCTGCCAGCACCTGCTATTTGAAACAGAGAAAAAGGCAACACGCAACGCAACATGGTTATGACACGTCTCAAAACCCTCGTGCTCTTCCACTCCCTCGACAGAAGTCTCTCCTCGTGCTCTTGTTTTGAGATGTCTCAAAACACGCAACGCAACATGGTTATGACACGTCTCAAAACCCTCGTGCTCTTCCACTCCCTCGGCAGAAGTCTCTCCTCGTGCTCTTTCAGCTGCTCCTCACTCCATCCTCGTGCCTTGAGAATCGTCTCTGCCCCTGCCAGCACCAGCTATTTATACCAGAGAAAAAGGGGCAGTAAGCAAAGAGCAGTCAGGGGAGCGGCTTCGTGTTAACATAGCTTAGTCATGTCTCAAATCCACCCACCCCCCTCCCCAATCACTCCCTCCCCTCAACCCCCACCCTCTCGTCCACCTCACCTTCTCCTCCTCTCCCAGCTGGCGCCTAATAGCGGCAGAGGATGGATATAGGCGCGGCGCCAGACTCAAAAAACGATAAAACTTAATCCAAAAGTCATCCCCCCACCCTTACCCCCCAGACCCTCCCCCACCCCCTCCCCCTCCCCAACCCCCTACCCCTCCCCCTCCTCCTCCCACATCCCCCTTCTCGCCTCACCTTCTCCTCCTCTGCCAGCTGGCGCCTAGTCAGCGCCAGCTGTGCAGCCAGCAGGGTCTTGCGCTCCACCTCAGCACGCATGTTGTAACCATCCTGGGGAGAGGGGAGTGAGAGGAGAAAGGGGAGAGGAGAGCGGGAAGGGTGTGAGGAAGGGTGTGAGGGTAAGAGTTAGTGAGAGCCGGGACCAGCAGCAGGGTCTTGCGCTACACCTCAGCATGCATGTTGTAACCACTGGGAGACGGGCATACGAGGAGGAAGGGGAGAGGAGAGCGGGAAGTGTGCGAGGGTAAGAGTGAGAGTGAGGGGCAACCTTTGAGGCGTCTCAAAAGAGCGGGAAGTTGCACGTCAGCACGCATGTTCGTATCCGCTGTTTGTGGCGCTTTGGGTGGGTGGTTTGAAGAAAGGAAGGAACGGGACCAGAGGGTGGGACCGAGAGTGGCACAAAGAGTGGAGGAGAGAGTGGGCGGGATAGAGAGCGTGAAGGAGATTGAGTGGGGCGTGCGAGGGTGAGTGTGAGGGAGAGTGTGAGTTAGAATGTGTGTGGCGGATCGTGCGAGCGAGAGTGTGAGAGACGCATGCAATGAAGGCCCACCCACCTTTGGCAGTAGACCCATGGGCACCTCCTCTCCTGCTGCTGCTCCCCCTTTAACATGAACGCTTCAAAATTCGTCTCACACCCACCCACACCCATCCACACCCACCCACACCCACCCACGCCCACCCACCCACCTTTGGCAGTAGACCCATGGGCACCTCCTCTCCTGCTGCTGCTCTCCCCCTTTAACATGAACGCTTCAAAATTCGTCTCACACCCACCCACACCCATCCACACCCACCCACACCCACCCACGCCCACCCACGCCCACCCACCCACCCACCTTTGGCAGTAGACCCATGGGCACCTTCTCTCCTGCTGCTGCTCGTGAAGCAAGGAGCTTCTTGGTGACTGCACAGCTCACGGTGAGTGAGGAGAGAATACAGAGAAACCACACAAGCTCGGTTGTGTCTCGTCTCTCGACAACTTATACCTACAGGTTTTGTTCCTGCTTCAGTTCAGTGGTACGGTTGTACCTGCTGCTGCTGCTGCCACTAGTTGCATCAAAACCGAATGTATGCGGAGCAGCGCCAACCCCCCACTCTATAATCGACACACCTAAAACACTCTATTCAGAAAACACTCTATAATCGACACACCTAAAACACTCTATTCAGAAAACACTCTATAATCGACACACCTAAAACACTCTATTCAGAAAACACCCTATAATCGACACACCTAACTCGCTTGCATGCAGAAGGGCAATTTTGAGTCAACTAGAAAATCACCCCCCCCCCCAGATATTTTCTGACAGGAAACACTCCATAATCGGCTCCTAACCTGCTCGCATGCAGAATGACATCATATGAGGCGGCTAATAAAACGGTTCCCATACACTCACCATCATAGTACCGCTCTTTAATCTCCTCCACCGTCCTTTCTTTCCTCTTCACCGCACTTGACCTTGGTTCCCCGGCCTTTGTTACAGAAGCTCCAACCCCTGCCGCCCCTCTTGCAGCCCCTCCTGCCGCCCCTCCTGCCGCCCCTCCTGCCGTCCCACCTGCCGCCCCACCTGCCGCCCTTGCTCTAGCATCTCCTGCACCAGCAGTGGTTTCCCTAGGCTCGTCTTTGATTGCCCCAGCCCCTGAAAACGGCTCTTCCTTGCAAGCACTACCAGCAGCAGCACCACCAGCAGCAGCATCACCACCCTTCCCAGCATCACCAGCACCAGCAGCACCACCAGCAGCAGCAGCACCAGTAGCGCCTTGAGAAGTTGTTGGTGCACTAGCAAGACTAGGGGCACTGATTTGGTCGCACTGCGAGTTGTAACGGTCAATGCTCTCATTGTAACGCTCCACGTCGGTGTTGTAACGGTCAGCGACGACGATGAAACGCAGCCCGAATCGGGCGCAGATAGCAATAAGTGCGTCTGTTTCTTCCCGGGACCAGCGCTGGTGGCATATCACATAAGAAATAGGGGAGGAGAATTGGAGGAGAAAGAGAATTGAAAGTGAAAGAGAATTGAAAGAGAAAGACGAGAGACATGCGACGAGTGGATTCCCAAGGTGCAGCAAAAAGTGCTGCCCGTTATTTTTGAGAGTTACGCTGCGCACATATTCATAAGTGCGTCTGTTTTTTTCCAGGATTAGGAGAGAGAGGAGAGATAGGGTCATGACTGTTAAGTTAAGATCAGAACCCTGATAGTCAAAACTCGGCTAAGTAGCTACAAGACTCACGGGGTGATCGAGCAGAAAACCCTTGTGTTTGAGAGACGTCTCAATGTAGAAACGCTGAAGGACTTACATGGTGGTAAAGCAGGCTCTTGTATTCCTCGTCCGTATACCTTAGCACTTGAGGTGGCTGGAGGTATAAGGGGGAGTGGGTCGACATTGGAGAAACCAGAAGATAGGAAGAGTTGGTTGGCTGGGGGAAGGGATATAGAGGAAAGGAATGAGAGTAGCAACAGAAGTGGGATGGGAAGGAGAGAGTGAATTGAGGTGGCTGGAGGTATAAGGGGGAGTGGGTCGACATTGGAGAAACCAAAAGATAGGAAGAGTTGGTTGGCTGGGGGAAGGGATATAGAGGAAAGGAATGAGAGTAGTAACAGAAGTGGGATGGGAAGGAGGGAGTGAATTGAGGTGGCTGGAGGTATAAGGGGGAGTGGGTCGACACTGGAGAAACCAAAAGATAGGAAGAGTTGGTTGGCTGGGAGGAGTAATATAGAGGAAATCAATTTTGAAATTTCTCAAAAGTTGACTGGGAGGAGGGATATAGAGGAACGGAATGAGAGTAGTAAATGCAGTGGGAAAGGGAGGGAGTGAGTGAACTGAGCGGGGTAGCGAGGGAGTGGGAGGTGGTTGGGGTTGAGTTGAAGGTACATGTGTTAAGAAAAAGAGAGCACCATGCAAGTTGCCAATCAACGCATGCCAGGCTGGTGCTGCCTTTCTTTCTTTATTTCTTTCTTTTTCTTTATTTAGTCGTTGTTGTTGTGAGTGACTAACCTTGTTGTACTTGGCAAACGAATAGTCCTCCTCCGGAACCTTGCCGTCCACCACTTTAACCTGTTGATTGATTCCCGCCCCACCAATGTAACAAGAAGGCACCGAAGCAAGCAAAGGAATCATGAGAATGAAAATTCATACGTGCACTTTGAACCTTGCCGTCCAGTCCACTACTTCAACCTGATGGTGCCACCGATATACCGAAGAGAGCAGACGCAAGAAAACACGTCAAAGCAGATACACAGAGGCAAACGCATACACGCACAAAGACACGCACATGCATGCACACGTATGCACACGCACACACAAAAACACGCACATGCATGCACACGCACACACAGAAACATGCACATGCATGCACACGCACACACAGAAACACGCACATGCATGCACGCGCACACACAGAGTCACGCACATGCATGCACACGCACACTAAGCACACATGTGTCAGCTACACTGCCCGTCCCTCCGGACCTTATGCTCCACACATGCCCGCACTAGCCTAGCCAGTCTTCTGTATTTCTTCTCTTTACTTTCCGTTGATTTCTGACCTCTAGTTTTGCAAGAAAGCATTTCAGCATACCCAGTGGTAGATTTTCAGGTCGTCTGGCCGGGCAGATGAAACAATGGGCTTCCACTGCCACGTCACCTGACAGAAACAGGTAAGAGGGTTGGGCAGGGAGAAAACGGGGAGCGGTAAAATTTTAGAGGGGGTGAGAAAGAATGAAGAACCTATGGAGGAGAAATAGAGATCTCAGTACGATTCAGTATGTAGGAGAAATACACTAGCACATTCTTTGGGAGGTACATTAGACCAATCAGTGGCTGCCAAACCTTTTGAGAGGGGGTGGTTCTTTTCTTGAGCAGGAGCATAGGGTCGAAAGTTGGCATTATTGGGGGTAAACCACCCGTGAGCGCATAGACCTGGTGTGGGAGGAGCAGCCATGGGGTGGATAGAAGAAAGGAAGCTTTCACACCCCAATCGCACTTCAGAAGATAGAGGAGCAAGCAATGGTCAGTCAGATTGCCTCGAAACCCAAATGAATGTCCATTGTTACAGCACGTTGACTACAGGAAATTCTTCTTCGATCCAACAATCCCCACCGCCCTCTTTCGTTCCCTTGACCTTCCTCTTCCCTGTTCGTCCTCCGTGCGACCCCCTCTCGTCCTCCCCCTTTCCGTTCCCTACCTCTCTGCTGATCCCCTCAGGAATTGCCCGCCCTCCGCCATCCCGCTCCCGCTTCTTCCCCTTCCCCGCACTCCCCGGCACTCCAGCGCCTCCTCCCAACCCCGCTCCGCCAGGCGTGCCTGGTAGCGCTTTCTTCGGCAATCCCAAGATGTCCTTCGCGTCGGCCATGGGGAGTAGGTGCTCGACTAGCCGAAAAGATCACCAGGAATGTTGGGATGCGTTTCGAAAACAAGGGGTTTGCAGAAGGAAAGGCAGAGTGAACGTTTGCGACCTGATTGTGATCTGGGGTCGAAAATAGGAGAGTGGACGGCACAGCAAACGAGGCGCGAATCTATGTACACGGCGAAGAACTTAGAACCACTGTGACCTAGTGGCTCGGGGAATGTCGAACTAGTGTATCAGTAGTCTGTACGCGAGATTAGGTCAGGTTTGGAAATCGGTGGCACAAAGCATAGCAAATTAAATATCAATTTGTAAAACACTCGCAGATTACAATAGACCACTACAGAATACTAAACATTATTACACAGATATGCGCACTTTTTTTTTTTATGGCAGTCAGGGACGCTCAATATAGAGTTGCAGTGACAGCATTCCAGTGTTCATGGACTTAATCGGAAATAACCTAGGCACCTTGCTAGATGGCGCACTACAGCGTGCACCATTTAGACCTGCACTCAAATCCTGAGGAGGCTCAACACCACCACTAGCTGAGCGAATTTCAGCACGAGAATCTCCCGCAGGAGCACCAGGGTCATTCATGCACGTTCTTTGATCAGGCACACGACCTTCTGACGAAGAATCAGCTGGGATCCAGAACTGCCCACTTGAGCTTCTGTCCGAAGGGAGATTCTTAGAGTGAGCTACCAGCTCCCATGCACATTCTGAAAAGGACACCGGAAAACACACACAGAAAAGCAGGAGCATAATGCAAAGGGAGAAGGCACTTCGCATAAGAAGTGGGAGAAACTCAATGATTTGCATGAATGCTTCTAACGACATGCTACTTATGGCCAAGGCTGCTGCACAACCGAAAGCAATAAAAAAATGCTCACATGCGACTACTTTCCATGCACCCAGTCACCTTGAGGGAGGGGTCGTTGAAAGCACTCTGAAACGGATGCTTTGACGAGAAACGAGCGCAGGCAATACTCAATGGACTCCAAGCTGTCCTGCTGAGCTGGTACGCTGCCAGATGGCGCTGGCTGGAAAATGGAGAAGTCAAACACTATTCTCTCATAGAATTTTCTTCCATCTGTTGAGAAAACGGCAAGGTCAATTCGTTCCACAACACCCTGCAAACCACACAGAAAGTAAGGAAAGAGACGGAAACAGGATGCGAAAAAGTGGATGACAGAGGGGGGGAAATGAGACGGAAACGAGAAGACAAAAAGACGTGCTTATACCTTGTCAATGTATGGGGAAAGGTCATTTATGGCGTCTCGAATGTAGCAGCGGAGGCCTGGGTGCCTGCTGGAGTACACAGGAACCGACGCGAAGCGGCTGCGATGAAATATTTCTGTAATAGGAATTGCAAAGATCACACAGAAGCGAACAAAACAAAATATGGATACTACAATATCTAATCAACATAACTGCTGAATCCAGTGCTCCTATGGTGGCCCTAAAATGTGCTAGGCAGGAAGAACAATACGACTGATGCACAGGGGAGTGCATTACCTGGAGGATATATGGAGCGAAGGTAGAGCAAATGATTCACTGCAACCTCTAGAAAATCACAGAGGATCTTCGTGACCTCTGCAAGCATTCAGAAAGAAAAAAACGGAAAGAACATTAGGTCCTTGTTAGAAAAAACAATTTGAACGCACGAATTCGAATCCGAGAAAAGCACCAACAGTGTGCTTAAACCAAATTGACAATGACATTGACAACCACGGCAATGAGACTGGTGTAACTCACACTGACCAGGTCTCAAGAGGCTTCCTGTTGTCTTCGGGTGCTTATTTGGTCCCTGAAGGCAGAGTTCACCAAGAAAACGTAAATCCATGGATGAGCAAGTTTAGTGCTGTAAACGGCAGACTGGAAAAAGAGCTCTCGACCATGCCGATCTCATACGCACCTCTCTAACAGGCAACTCGGAAAACCCTTGCCCGACTCCATCCATCTCCCGCTTCATCCCTTTGAGAAAATACTCCTAGCTCCTGCTGAAACGATGCAAATGGTGATCACGATATTTGGTCTTATGGTGAGTGACTGACAATTTGGTAAGGCGAGGAGAAACAACGGCTGGATCGTAAGGAACGGATCGACAGCATCCAGATTGGCCTTCAAAGACTGAACAATGCCAAACTGTTCTCGAGAATATCCGATTTAGCGTAATTCTGAAGGCAATGACAGAAATGTTCGTCCTTGCATAACCATGGAAAGAGCCTGGATAGTATCGAGGCATATGCCTCAGGTTCCCACGTAGCGTCTTCGCGAGGGTTCGCAGAGTTGCAATCCCGTACACTTTTCCCCTAATCGCAGAGTCGCCATGGACATGGAAATCGGTAAGAAAAGAAAACATTTTTGTCTCACATTACAGAAGCTATGGACATGGAAAATTACAATGATGATACTGAAACTTTCGCTAAAATAAGAATGAATCCTGTAAGCGGTGTTCCTCACTCTACCAGACGTGACAAAGTGTTACTGGTTAATGTACCGTATATTGTTGTTCCTGGTCAAGGCACAGCGCTCGTTTGCTTGCAACGTCAGTCATCTGAGCTGCTTCCATGACGCCACTTTGGACAAGCTGCTTCCAGCCTCACCAATTAAGACTGCTTCCATCAGTGCCGCCCGTTGTTTGCTCTGCAGGTGTGGCGTCGGCAGCAGCAGCAGCAGTCGCTTCGTTACCAGCACCAGGAGACACGGCAGCAGTAGCAGCAGCACCAGCAACACCTGGGGCAGCAGCAGCAGCAGCAGGAGCACCCAGACCAGCAACAGCAGTGGAGCCGACAGCAGAGCTGCTTCGGAACCTGCCAGAGCTGTACCGTCCCGAGAATGTGCTCACCCTGCCCCCTCCATATCCAATACTCCCTTCATTAACTCCACTGGCACCCCCACTCCCAATCCCCCCACTCGTTCCACTGGTTCTACTGCCAGACATCAGCAGGTCTGAATTGGCCTGAGCCTGCCCCAGCAGCAGTTGCTGCAGCTGTGCTTGCTGCTGCTGTTGCTGCGGGTTTCCGAGCCCTAACCCGGCAGCCGGAGCCACGAAAGCAGCACCAGGGGCAGCAGCAGTAACCCCACCAGCAGCACCGGAACCAGCCCCTCCTGCTGCTGCTCGTGCTGCTGCAGAGCTCAGGGCGCCAGCAGCAGCGTTAGCCGCGGCGGCAGCAGCAGCATTGGCAGCCGCAGCAGCAGCAGCAGCGGCATTAGCAGCGTTGCTGACTTCCAATGCCAACACATGCTCTAACTCAACCACCACTTCAGTGATCGGGGGGCGGTTGAGTGACTTGGGCTCGACACACACCATGCCGACCTCTGCCACCCGCCACATGGCCTCCTCGTCCCACTCGTGGGGGAGCAGCGTGGGGTCTGCTACTGCCCGAATGTTGCCCTGCTGCAAGTGGTCGCGCGCCTGGGATAGGGAGGGGAGAACGAGTAGGGATGGGAACAGGAAACGAGTCGGGAAAGGGAAATGGAAGGAGGGAAAGGAAGGGAGGGGGGGCAGTTGAGGGACTTTGGCTCGACACACACCATGCCAACCTCTGCCACCCGCCACATGGCCTCCTCGTCCCACTCGTGGGGGAGGAGGGTCGGGTCTGCTACTGCCCGGATGTTGCCCTGCTGCAAGTGGTTGCGCGACTGGGATAGGGAGGAGAGAACGAGTAGGGATAAGAACGAGCCTACCCAATAAACGCTACTCACCCAGACAACACTGCTCACCCAATCAAAGCCACTCACCCAGTCGATAATGCTCCAGTGCTGCTGCGGGCGGTTGAGGTCGATGGGCTGCTGGCCCGAGATCAGCTCCAGCAGCACCACCCCGAAGCTGAACACGTCGCTGCGATCCGTCAGCTGCTGAATGGTAAAGTACCTGCGGGAGAGAGTGGGGAGAGAGAGGGTGGGAGAGTGGGAGAGTGATGAGTGAGGGGGAGGCGGATGCAGTGCAGTGCAGCAGCACAGGAAGGGCTATAATACTTAAATAAGCACCACTTACTCAGGGTCCAGGTATCCCGCTGTGCCCTTCACAACAGTAGACACGTGGCTTCTGTTGTCCTGTGGGCCCACCCGGGACAGTCCAAAATCTGCCACCCGCGCGTTCAGCCGGCCGTCCAGCAGGATGTTGCTCGTCTTGATGTCACGGTGGATGATGGGCGGCTGGAGACACGTGTGTAGGTACTGGATGGCTGTTGGGGCCGGGGGGTGGGGGAGCAGAGAGAAGAGACAGGGGACGGAAGAAAGGTAGGGGTGGGGGGGTGAGGGGAAAGAGGAATAAGTGTTGTCGTTGCTCGTCTTGATGTCACGGTGGATAATGGGCGGCTGGAGACATTTGTGTAGGTACTGGATGGCTGTTGTGTATTTGTAGGGGCAGGGGAGAGAACATAGAAGAAGGAAGGGGAGGGAAGGGGAGGAATAGGAGAAAGAGATGTTGTTGCTCGTCTTGATGTCACAGTGGATGGGCGGCTGGAGACACGATTGTAGGTACTGGATGGCTGTTGGGGGCAGTGTGTGTGGGGTTGGGAAGGGGAAGGAGTGGGAGAAGAGGTATGTTGCTTCACTGTGTGTCACGGTGGATGGTGGGCTGCTGGGGGCAGTGCATGTATGTGTGTGTAAGGAGGGGGGAGAGAAACTGACGAGCGAGAGGGATAAGGAGGGGGGCGAGGATGCGCATGTGTGCGCACGGCCGGCAATCCAGCATGGATGGTCGGCATGGATTCACTCGGATGCAGGCAATTTCCTAGAAGCAGCCAAAGAAATCAAGTGCTCCAGTTTGCATCGCACCTCTAGCAGCACCCAGGGCGATCTGAATGCGGGTGAGCCACCTCAGCCTCCCCAGCGGCTGCCCCATCTGGTCGTACAGATGCTCCCTCACCGTCCCGTTCGGCATGAACTCATACACCAGCAGGTGCTGCCGAGCCTCTCTACAGTACCCAACCAGCTCCACCAGGTTCGGGTGGCAGGCTCGGGACAACAAATCCACCTCATTCACAAACTCCCTGTCTCCCTGCAGTGAATCATCGTCCCTCCGTTTCACTGCTACCATCCGTCCGTCTGGCAACACACCCCGGTATACAGGCCCAAAGCCCCCTGACCCGATGATTTCGGAGGGTGAGAAGTGGTTGGTTGCAGTTGAGAGGGTTGCGAGGGAGAAGCGGCGGGCGGAGGAGCCGGGGGCGACTAAGTATGCCATGGAATGATCGGCGGGTGTAGCAGCAGCGGTTGTAGCAGCAGCGGCTGTAGCAACGGCGGCTGTAGCAGCAGCAGGAGTAGCACTAACACCACTAGCATCAGTAGCATCTGTAGCGGAAGCACCAGCAGCAGCATCAGCACCTGCAGCGGCAAACGGGCCTGCGCTTGCTGCTCCTCTAACTGCCAAGCCCTGCGCGACAGCCGGACTTGCACCGGGAGTTGATGCAGCCTTCCCCCTTGCAGGAGAGTTGCCTGTAGCAAGAGCTGCTGCTCCTGTGGCAAGCGCTGCTGCTCCTGCAGCAAACGCTGCTGGTCCCACAGCATTCCCAGCACCTGGCACTGCCATCCCCTCGGTCGGCGCTGCTGGCACTGCTGCTTCTGCTGTCGCTGATTCAGCTGCTGCTGCTGCTGCTGGTGCTGCTGCTGGCTTGTCTGGTGCAGGAGCCAGCAGGGGAGTCTCCTCTTGGCTGGCAGGTACCGCTGGGAGGACACTGGCTTTGAATGCAGGAGGTTCGGTTCCCTCTATCGCTGCTGTCTTCGCTGCTGCTGCTGCCGTTACTGCTGCGGGGGACAAGCCTGCAGTAGCCTTGGGCGAGAGGAGCACCTGGTTGCTCTGCGTGTAGAGAGTCGCTCCGGCAGAGTCTGTATGGGGTGATGGGGAGACAGGGAGGGAGACAAGGAAAGGTGGAGGTCAAGCTGCCTTGGGCGAGAGGAGGACTTGGTTGCTCTGTGTGTAGAGAGTCGCTCCGGCAGAGTCTGTCAGGGGGTGATGGGGAGGGAGACACGGGGAGGTGGGGTTATGGAGCGATAAGTTTGCCTGTATCGCTGCGAATTTCGCTACAGCTACTGATGCACCAGCAGCAGATAGCTCTGTTGGTGAGTGTGTGTATTCATACCTGCTGCTCGCACTGTGACCGCCCCAGTATCCCCATGCACATACACCACCATAGGCGGTTGCTGCCCCAACCCAATCCTACGGCTGACCGTGCTGAACCGATTTTAGGGGACTCTAAATTCACTGAGAGAAGGGAGAGCGATGGTGCTATTCGTACCTGCTGCTTGCACGGTCACAGCCCCCGTGTCCCCATGCACATACACTACCACAGGCGGCTGCTGCCCCAACCCATCCCCTCCCACACCACCACCGCCACCACCACCACCAGCACCGCTCCTTCCTCCCATGCCTCCTCTCTCTGCCGCCCGCTGCTGCCACCTCAGCAGCAGCCAGCTGGCGAGGAGCACCATTAGCACGCCGATTATGACACCTAGGATGAGCGCCATGAGGACAGCTGTGCTCATGGCTGCAGGTGACGTGGCAGTTTGTGCTGACGTGTCAGATGGGGAGGAGGAGGGGGTGGGGATGGTGTTGTTGCAGGGAGGGAGGCCAAAGGAGGCGTCTGGGGAGCAGAGATTGAGGTTGCCTGAGACACTGCACGAGAAGTTGAAAAGGGGAGAAACGGAAACAGGGAAGGGAAGAGAAGAGCGAGGGTTTGGGGATGTCGTGGGAAGAGTGGGGGAGGGTTGAGGGAGGTTGATGGATGAGTCTGGGGAGCAGAGATTGAGGTTGCCTGAGACACTGCAAGGGGGTGGAGAAGACAAGGGGAGGGAGGGGGGCAGGGTCGATTCCGGAAACAACAGAGGGAGGCCGAAGGAGGCGTCTGGGGAGCAGAGGTTGAGGTTGCCTGAGACACTGCAAGGGGGAAAGGGGGAGAAGGGAAGCAGGGAAGAGAAGTGAAGGTTGGGGAATGTGTGGAGTAATGGAGGGGGCGGTGGTGATTGAGTTGGTGCAAGGAGGGAGGCCGAAGGAGGAGTCTGGGGAGCAGAGATAGAGGTTTCCAGAGATACTGTGGGAGAAGTTGAGTTTTGAGGCGCCTAAAAACGAGTCTGGAGAGCAGAGATTAATGCTTCAGAGATACTGTGGGAGAAGTTGCAAAGGGGCAGAAACGGAAGCAGGGAAGGGAAGAGAAGAGCGAGAGTTTGGGGTTGTCGTGGGAAGAGTGGGGGAGGGTTGAGGGAGGCCGAAGGAGGCGTCTGGGAAGCAGAGGTTGAGATTTCCAGAGATACTGTGGGAGAAGGTGCAAAGGGGCAGAAACGGAAGCAGGGAAGGGGACGAGAAGACAGAGGGTTTGGGGATGTTGTGCGGAGGAAGGTGGGGGGGGGATGTTTGAACGAGGTTGAAGGACGAGCTTGGGGAGCAGAGGAGCGGGGCACTCAGGCTTGGGGCACCGGGGAGTGTGTTGGGCACCGGGGAGTGTGTTGGGCACCGGGGAGTGTGTTGGGCGCCGGGGAGTGTGTTGGGCACCGGGGAGTGTGTTGGGCACCGGGGAGTGACTTGGTTGGAGTGTGTTAAAGACAAACTCAATCTGCACTGAACGTTGCTTGAGCTGTTGAATGAGAAGGGACTGGAGAGAGGCTTTTGAGAATCCTCATAAGCGACTCAGATTTGGAGGGTGGTTAGGGTAGGGTAGGGTAGGGTAGGGTAGGGTAGGGTAGGGTAGGGTAGGGTAGGTAGGGTAGGGTAGGGTAGGGTAGGGTAGGGTAGGGTAGGGTAGGGTAGGGACAAACCCAATCTGCACGTTGCTGGAGCGGTTGAAAGGTAAGGGGCCGGAGAGATTGTTGGAGCTTAGGTCTCTGCGTTGATGGGGAGAGAGAGAGGGTGTGGGTCGGGTGCAAAAGGAGGTCAGTCTTAGCAGAAACTGAGAGACAGTGAGAGATTGTTGGAGGTCAGGTCTCTGCAGTTGACTGGGGAGAGTGGGGGTGCGATGTGCAAAAACATATAAGGAGGTGCAGAAACAGAGACATCATGAGTTATCATTGGAGAGAGTAGGTGGGTGGGAGCAAGAGAGCACGAGAACAAGGGAGAAAGAGAGCAGGAGAGGAAGGGAGCATGAGCGCAAGGGAGCAAGAGGACAAGGGAGCAGGAGCACAAGAGGGCAAGGGGGCAAGAGGGCAAGAGAGCAAGACACTACTCAGAGGTACTGCAGTGACTTTTGAGTCGACTCAAAGGGCAAGAGAGTGAGACACTACTCACAGGAACTGCAGGTTGGGCAGAGCAGCAAGGGAGGCGGGGACAGGCCCTGACAGCTTGTTGTTGTTGAGCTTGCTGGTTGGCACAAGGGGTGGGGGAAGAGGGCACAAGGGGTGGGGGAAGAGGGCACAAGGGGTGGGGGAAGAGGGCACAAGGGGTGGGGGAAGAGGGCACAAGGGGTGGGGGAAGAGGGCACAAGGGGTGGGGGAAGAGGGCGGCGAGGGGAGAAAGGTGAGGGGAGGGAAAGACATACATAGCCTACAGTGCATTAATTTCTCTATAGGACGTGCATGGATTGCTATGCTCTATAAATGGATCGTGGATGGGTGGGGTTTCCAATCGATGAGGGGATGGATTGTTGGGTCACCTCAAAACTCAAATCGGATAGCTCTATGTCTGCTTCCTGAAACGTAGATGGATCGTAGCTGGGTGAGGTTCCCAATCGACGAGGGGATAGGGCATTGAGTGAACTCAGGACTTGATCCACAGCAAGCAATAGAACTTGCTATGCTCGCTCCACCACCGGACATACATGGATCGTAGCTGGGTGAGGTTCCCAATCGACAAGGGGATAGACTCAACACCTGCCCAATGCCCAGTGCTGCTATGCTCGCTTGATCGTGCGTACACGGGCCATTCAAGGCTTCCTCTACAAAACGTACATGGATCGCAGCTGGGTGAGGTTCCCAATAGACGAGGGGATGGAGCCTTGAAGCCGGTTGTGGTCCATCCAGCTGACACGTGGGGAAGAGGGAAAAGAGGGGGAGGAGGGGGTGTAAAGGGGAGGAGAGGCATGGATGGTCAGGGGAGAAGGGCGAGGGGGAGGAAGGAAGAGCGGGAATGAACGAAAGAGGGAAGGAGGTGAGGTTTCCAAGACGAGGGGATGGAGCCTCGTAGCTGGTTGTGATCCATCCAGCTACCACGTGGAGATGCAGGTTGGGGTATGCAGGGGTGCGAGGAACGACACAGGGACAGAGTAAAAAGAGAGACCAGGAAAGTAGGGAGCAGAGGAAGGAGGGAGGAAGAGAGAGCGGGGGAATGATACAGCAGAGTGGATAGAGATGGGCAGATATCAATGGGCGGATAAAGGGGAGCTGCTGGGGACTGCTGGGGTGGGGACTGCTGGGGTGGGGACTGCTGGGGTGGGGACTGCTGGGGTGGGGACTGCTGGGGTGGGGACTGCTGGGGTGGGGACTGCTGGGGTGGGGACTGCTGGGGTGGGGACTGCTGGGGTGGGGACTGCTGGGGTGGGGACTGCTGGGGTAGGGACTGCTGGGGTGGGGACTGCTGGGGTGGGGACTGCTGGGGTGGGGACTGCTGGGGTGAGGACTGCTGGGGTGGGGACTGCTGGGGTGGGGACTGCTGGGGTGGGGACTGCTGGGGTGGGGACTGCTGGGGTGGGGACTGCTGGGGTGGGGACTGCTGGGGTGGGGACTGCTGGGGTGGGGACTGCTGGGGTGGGGACTGCTGGGGTGGGGACTGCTGGGGTAGGGACTGCTGGGGTGGGGACTGCTGGGGTGGGGACTGCTGGGGTGGGGACTGCTGGGGTGGGGACTGCTGGGGTGGGGACTGCTGGGGTGGGGACTGCTGGGGTGGGGACTGCTGGGGTGGGGACTGCTGGGGTGGGGACTGCTGGGGTGGGGACTGCTGGGGTGGGGACTGCTGGGGTGGGGACTGCTGGGGAAGGGACTGCTGGAGACTGCCAGGGAGAGGCTTACAGAGTCTGCAGTGTGGTGAGCTCGGAGATGCAGGCTGAGAAAGGACCGGAGATGTTGAGGTGGGTTAGATTCCTGGTGGGTGGAGTGACACGTGGCACATGGAGGAGATGACAGGTAGGACACAGGATAGGGATAGTGAAAATCAAGGAGTAACAGAGAAGGAGAGCGAAGGAGGTAAGGCAGCACACATGGCACAGAGGCAGCACACAGGAATACACAAAGCAACAACACAAACATGCACGCAAGCACCAGCTTATACCATCAGCTAAGACAGCAAACATTCAACCACTCACAGGCCGATGACGGAAGAATGGAGGCGGGAGGTCTTGCAAGTGACTCCCGGCCACACAATGGGGTAGCAGGGGTCGCCAGTCCAGCCATCCAACGCTGCTGCCCCGCCCATCTGTGCTTTGATGCATGACAGGGCGCGTACTGTGAGGGGTGGAGTGAAAAGGGGTGGAGAGAGGTTGAGAGAGGAGATGAAAAGAGAAGAGGGAAAAGTGGGAAGGGGAATGGTTATAACGCTACAGCATGCAAATGTAGCTAGAAATCGGAATTGAGACCGTGCTGTTGACGTGCTGAGCTATGTTGTGGATCTGCTAAACCATTTTTGAGGCGCCTCAAACTTTTGAGTTTTGAGGCGCCTCAAAAGTCGTCTATGTTGTGGATCTGCTAAACCATTTTCAGTTGACCTGTTGGTTCAAGTTGTTGATCTACTGAGTGATGCAAGCAAAGCTTCTCAGCAGGTCAACATCATGAACCAGCAAGTGAGCTGCATGACTCAGCAAATCAACAGCATGACTCAGTACGTCAACAGCATGACTCAGCACGTCAACAGCATGACTCAGCACGTCAACATATGACTCAGCACGTCAACAACAGCATGACTCAGCGCGTCAACAACAGCATGACTCAAAGCGCAGCACAAATTAAGCATCAATTGTTCCGCATGTCACCTTGACTTGGCAACAACACAACTCAGCACATCAACACCATGACTGACTCACCACATCAACACCATGACTGACTCACCACATCAACAACACATGACTCAGCGGATCAATCAGCGGTAGCACGACACAAGCGAACAATATGGATCTCAACACAACCCACTATACAGCGCGAACACATCCTATACTTGTTGTGTTGCTTCCATAATGTCTAATGTTCTTAAAAAACTTAGCGCACCTTGACCTTTTGGCACAGCAGCCTTTGGCTCCACCACAGTATACAGCTCGAGTCCAGACAACCCCACCTCCTTCACCCTACTCCCCTCCTCTGCCTTTAGCTGTATACTCGTTTCCGCCACCGTTCCCTGCGGCCCCTGCTGCTGCCCGTTCCCTTGCCCGGCCCCTTGCACTTTCGCCGTCGCGTTTCCACCTGCCCCTTCAGCTGCCCCAACAACGTCAAAAGCGAAGCTGAGCTGCCCGGCGGTGTTTTTGTTCCACTGGCGGTTAGCGGTAGAGGGCAGGGCGGGGGCGTTGCGGAGGAGAGGCGAGCCATTAATCAGGATGGCCAGGAGGAGGTCCGCTGATGGGGCGTTGTTGCTGGTGGCGTCAGCAGGAGGAATGATGTCGGTAAAATAGAGGTAGGCCTGAAGTGGTAGGGAGGGAGAGTGGGTGGGTGGTTGGGAGGGAAAGAAAGGAAGGGAAAGAATTAGGAGAATGAACACCTGAACTGCTGGTGGTGTTGGTGGTACTCCACACAACAGCCAGTTTTGAGTCGACTCAAAACACCTTGAGTCGACTCATAACCCACCTGGTACTTTCCAGGAGCCAGCCCATAGAAGTGATAAGTCAGCCCCTGAGGGGAGGGCTCTTAGTCGTCCTCGCCTTCTGAACCACAAACTGAGGCATGGCATTGCTGCTCATGCTGGCAGGGATAGCGATGCTGCTGCTGCTGGTGCTGGTGACGACCCATACCACAGCCATCCAAACCACTCATAACCACTCAAACGACCCACCCACACACACACACCTGGTACTTTCCAGGGGCCAGCCCATAGAAGCGGTAAGTCAGCCCCTGAGGGCCCTTAGTCGTCCTGGCCTTCTGCACCACAAACTGAGGCACGGCATTGCTGCTCATGCTGGGGGGGATGGCAATGCTGCTGCTGCTGGTGGTGAATTGTACCAAACCCACCCCAAATCACTCGGAACCGCTCAATAAACTATCTTACCAAGACCCACCTGATATTTTCCGGGGGCCAGCCCATAGAAGCGGTAGGTGAGCCCCTGAGGGCCCTTAGTAGTCCTCGCCTTCTGCACCACAAACTGAGGCACGGCATTGCTGCTCATGCTGGGGGGAATGGCGATGCTGCTGCTGGTGACGGCCACAGAGGCGGCTGCGGGGATGTAGGTGTAGGTGCCGGGCGCTGGGTCGCCAAATAGAGGCATGTCCGCGTACCACACACGATCCAAAGGGTCGTCAGGATACCTGGGATGGGAGTGTCAGAAGGGCGGGGATGGGGAAGGGGGAAAGGGATTGGTAAGGGGGTTGCAGGGATGTAGGTGTAGGTGCCGGGGGCAGGGTTGGCAAAAGAGAGGCATGTCCGCGCGTACCCAAACCAATCCAAAGGATTATCACCGCAGCTGGGAGTGACTGTTGAGTCGACTCAAAAGTCAACTCAAAAGTCAACTGAGTCGACTCAAAAGAGAGGCATGTCTGCGTACCACAACCGATCCAAAGGATTATCAGCGCAGCTGCGAGTGACTTTTGAGTCGACTCAAAAGTCAACTGAGTCGACTCAAAAGAGAGGCATGTCTGCGTACCACAACCGATCCAAAGGATTATCAGCGCAGCTGGGAGTGACTTTTGAGTCGACTCAAAAGTCAACTCAAAAGTCAACGGAGTCGACTCAAAAGAGAGGCATGTCTGCGTACCACAACCGATCCAAAAGATCATCAGCGCAGCTGGGAGTGACTTTTGAGTCGACTCAAAAGTCAACTCAAAAGTCAACTCAAAAGTCAATGGAGTCGACTCAAAAGAGAGGCATGTCTGCGTACCACAACCGATCCAAAAGATCATCAGCGCAGCTGGGAGTGTGAGACAGAAAAGGATCATCAAGGGATGAGGGGATGATGGTAAGGGGGCAGCTGGGAGTGTGAGACAGAAAAGGGAAGGCTTACCGATTCGAGCCCTAGGCTAACCGATTCGAGCCCTACCCGTGCAGAATGGTCTAACTGATACGAACCTTCCCGGCACAAGCCTTACCGGTAGGAACCGACAAGCCACGAGTCGCCAGCACAGGACAGCCTCCAGTAGTTGAGCAGCAGCTGCTCGCTATAGTCACTCCCGTTGTAAGCATCGGCAGGGAGCGGGCGGATCTCGAGGGCGTTGATGATGGGGTCGGCCGAGACGCGCACGAGGCAGATGGCGAGGGTGCGCGCTGGCACCGTTACTATCACCTCCAGCACAAGAATCTGGTCGTTGGATGGCGTGTACTGGCCCCTGTGGGGTGGGAGGGGTGGGGGGAGGGGGGAAAGGGGGGGGGGGGGGGGAGGGAGGGGGGGAAAGGGGGCCGGAAGGGAAGAAAGAAACGGAGTAGAGGGCATTAGAAGGGAAGGGTTAGCACGAGTAGGGAAGGTGGGGAGGGAGGGAGGGAAGGAGTGGGCGGATCTTGATGACTTTTGAGTCGACTCAAAAGTCACCTCGACTCAAAAGTCAACTTTTGAGTCGACACAAAGTAGAGGGCATTAGAAGGGAAGGGTTAGCACGAGCTGGGAAGGTGGGGAGGGAGGGAGGGAAGGAGTGGGCGGACTTCAATGGCGCTGATGATTGGGTCAGCCGAGACGCGCACGAGGCACATGGTCATGGTGCGCGCTGGCACCGTTATTATCACCTCCAGTACAAGAATGTGGTCGTTAGATGGCGTGTACTGGCCTCTGTGGGGTGGGGAGGGGGTGGGGTGGGTGGCGGGGGCAGAAGAGAACAAAGAAACGGAGTAGAGGGCAGAAGAAGGGAAGGTGAGGCAGCTGGTCACGAGCAGGAAGGCAGGGAGCGGGCGGATCTGGAGGGCGTTGATGATGGGGTCGGCGGAGACGCGAACGAGGCAGATGGCCATCGTTACTATCACCTCCAGTACAAGAATCTGGACGTTGGATGGCGTGTACTGGCCTCTATCGGGGGGGGGAGGAGGGGGGTGGGGGGTGGGGAGGGGGTGGGGGGGGGGGTGGGGGAGGGGATGGGGTGGGTGGCGGGGGCAGAAGAGAGCAAAGAAGCGGAGTAGAGTGGAGAAGAAAGGAGGGTTTAGCATCAGCAGGGAGCGGGCGGACTTCAATGGCGTTGATGATGGGGTCGGCCGAGACGCGCACGAGGCAGATGGCGAGGGTGCGCGCTGGCACCGTTACTATCACCTCCAGTACAAGAATCTGGTCGTTGGATGGCGTGTATTGGCCTCTGTGGGTTGGGACAGATGGGGGGAAGGGGGGAGGGAGGGAGGGGGGGGGAAGGGAGAGGGAGAGGCGGAGGAGAGGAAAGAAACGGAGTCGAGGGCAGAAGAAGGGAAGGTTCAGTTCAGCAGCAGTAGCTGGTCACGAGCAGGGAGGGAGGGAGGGAGGGAGGGGGGGCGGATCTGGAGGGCGTTGATGATGGGGTGGGCGGAGACGTGCATGAGGCAGATGGCCATGGTGCGAGCTGGCACTGTTACAGGGATGAGGACGAAGAAGGGATGAGGACGAAGAAGGGATGAGGACGAAGAAGGGATGAGGACGAAGAAGGGATGAGGACGAAGAAGGGATGAGGACGAAGAAGGGATGAGGACGAAGAAGCTGGCTTACAGGGATGCAGTGCCGACCGTGACGCGGAAAATGGGCGGCACGTTCTTGCCGCTTGAATATGCAGCCCAAGAGAACGTACAAAGGAAGCAGTAAGATACAGGAAGAAGGTGGGGGCCTAGCTTACAGCGACACAGTGCCGACTGTGACGTTGAAAACGGGTGGCATGTTCTTGCCATCGTAGTTGCCGTACCAGAAGGTGAGACGCACCAGGTAGCGACCTGGGTGGGGAGCAAGGGAGGGGGGGGGTTCGAGGGACAGGGGAACAGTGGAAAGAGTGGTGTGAAGCATGTTATTGCCCTCGTAGTTACTGTACCAGGAGGCGCATCAGGAGCGGCCTGCAGGAGAGAGCATTGGGCGGGGAAGGGACTGGTGTAAGGCGAGAGCACGTGATAGGTTCTTGCCATCGTAGTTACTGTACCAGAAGGTGAGGCGCACCAGGTAGCAACCTGGGGGAGAAGGAGGGAGATGGGTGGGGGAGTTGGGAATGAAGAGAGAGAAGGGGACGGAGGAAGGTGAGGTTCTTGCAGGTATCGGTGTGAAGCATGTTGACTTTTTGAGTCGACTCAAAGAATGTCGTGTGCCATAGTAACGAGGTGACTTTTGAGTCGACTCAAAAGGGAACGGAGGAAGGTGAGGTGAGGTTCTTGCAGGTATCGGTGTGAAGCATGTTCTTGCCATCGTAGTTGTCACCAGAAGGTGAGGCGCACCAGGTAGCGGCCTGCAGGAGGAGGAGTATAGGGGCGGGAAAGAGACTGGCATAAGGCGAGAGTAGTACGTGATAGGTTCTTGCCATCGTAGCTGCCCCACCAGAAGGAGAGGCGCACCAGGCATCAGTCTGCAGGAGAAGCAAGGGAGGGGTTAGAGGGACAGGGGAACAGAGTACGGACTGGGGAGAAGCAGGCTCTAGCTGCCGCAGTTGCCGTACGAGAACGTGAAGCGCACCAGGTACCGGCATGCATGTGACGACCACCAGTTGGTTCACCTGCGATCGCAACCCCACCAGTTGGTTCACCTGCGATCGCAACCCCACCAGTTGGTTCACCTGCGATCGCAACCCCACCAGTTGGCTCACCTGCAATCGCAACCCCACCAGTTGGTTCACCTGCGATCACGGCCACACTTAATAAGCGTGTCCATTCACTTAAACCCCAATTTCACTGCCCAACTCACCTGGGGCACCCCCACTCACCTGCTGCACCCCCACTCACCTGCTGCACCCCCACTCACCTGCTGCAGTCAGCTCACCTGGGGCAACCAGGGGAATCTGGTAGCAGTTTGACGGCTTCCCATCGTCAAACACCCTCAGCGTCTGCTCCACCGTCACCTGCCCCACCAGTTCGTCCGGCACGCGGGTGATCACCGCCACACTGCCACTCATACATTCTCACTCTAGTTCTGCTTTCACTGCCCTACTCACCTGGGGCAACCAGGGGGATCTGGTAGCAGTTTGACGGCTTCCCATCGTCAAACACCCTCAGCGTCTGCTCCACCGTCACCTGCCCCACCAGTTCGTCCGGCACGCGGGTGATCACCGCCACACTGCCGCCCGGCGCTGCCGTGTCTGGTAACCACTTGAGACCGAGGTTGCTAGCTCCAGCAGATCCCATGTAGCCACAGTCTATGCTCACGAAGCCTGGTTGGTGGGGGAGGGAGGGAGTGAGGGAGGGAGGGATAAGAAAGAGAGCGGCATAAGGTGCTGCCGTGTCTGGTAACCACATGAGGCCCAGGTTGCTGGCTCCAGCGGAACCCATGTAGCCGCAGTCTATGCTCACGAAGCCTGGAGGGAGGAGGGATGGGCCCAAGTGTGAGGAAGTTGAGAGAAAATAGGGGAAGGAAGGGAGGTGCTGCTGTGGTTGGTAACGACTTGAGGCCGAATTGCTTGCACCAGCAGAACCCATGTCGCCGCAGTCTATGCTCACGAATCCTGATGAAGAGGGGAGAGGGAGGGGCGGAGGGGGCCAGGTTGTGAGCAAGGTGAGAGACAAGATGGGAAAGTAAGAGGCGCTGCTGCCGTGTCTGTGTAACCACGTGAGGCCCAGGTTGCTGAGGCCCGCCGAGCCCATGTAGCCGCAGCCTATGCTCACGAAGCCTGACGAAAGGAGGAGGGAGAGGGGGAGGGAGGGAGGGAGGGAGGGAGGGAGGGAGGGAGGGAGGGAGGGAGGGAGGGAGGGAGGGAGGGAGGGAGGGAGGGGGGGAGGGAGGAGAGAGATTAAAGGGAAGGAAGCGAGAGGTGCTGCTGTGTCCGGGTACCATTTGAGGCCAGGTTGCTGGGGCCCGCCGAGCCCATGTAGCCGCAGTCTAGGCTCACGAAGCCTGAGGCGGGAGGGGGGGACCGGAGGGAGGGAGGGATAAGGAATGCGACGGACAGGGGAGGAATGTGTCCGGCAACCATTTGAGACCAGGTTGCTGGGGCCCGCCGAGCCCATGTAGCAGCAGTCTAGGCTCACGAAGCCTGGTGAAGGGGAGATGGAGCGAGGGAGGGAGGGATAAGGGGGAGAGAGCGAGAGACCCTGGGGTAGAGGAAGGTGAGAGACAAGATGGGAAAGTGGGAGACGCTGCTGAGCCTGGTAACCACATAAGGCCATGTAACCACATGTAACCCATGGCTGCTAGTTACCAGCAACCGACAAGCCCATGTAGCCACAGTCTATGCTCACGAAGCCTGGCGAAGGAGGAATGGAGATAACCGATTAGGGTGACTGAGGGTGAGAGGTGCTGCTGCGTCTGGTAACCGTTCAGCCATATTCCCAAAGAACGGCTTCTGGGACTCTCTCAAGTTGGTACCAAGCTACACAGTCTCGCCCATCCACGGTTCCTCCTGCTGACAGTTCAAGATACTGTTACAAGTCTCAAAAATAGCATCGTGTCACACACTTTCTGCTGACTTTTCAGGGTATTTTTTAGAAATTCCTAGCGAAAACCGCCGCGCCTCTCCATTCGTTCTGCTGACCTTTCTGTGACGGCAGCTTCGCGGCCGCCAGCTTCGTGCTCCTCAACGCAGCAGCACGCACGCTCTTTTAGAGTCGATTACAAATGCACGTACTCGCAGAGACCCGCTTCTGATACTCTCAACTCACCAAGAAACAAGGTCTCGCCACTCCACCCTTTCTGCTGACCTTTCTGTGACGGCAGCTTCGCGGCCGCCAGCTTCCTGCTCCTCAACGCAGTAGCACGCAGGTTCCTGGCCACGTTCCCTGCCACGTTGGCACCCACGTTCCCTGCTACTCTCGGTTGTCCTAACGACTGTTGAGCCGAACCTGAGACACTCGCGTTCCCTACAGCTCTCGGCCTTTCCAGTGCCCCCACCCACCCCCCTGCTGCCGCTGCTCTCAACGCAATCATCAACTGCCTCTCCGCCCGCCATCTGACCGCCGCTGCTCGTTCTAATTCCGCTCCATCTTCCTTCGCTGCTGCTCTCTCGTCTCCTGCTAATTCCACGTGGCTCTCTACTCGGCTGCTATCTACACGGATGACGCCGTTGCTGACTATATTTGCGGTGCTGCCTACGTGGAAGAAGCTGCTGCTTGCGTCAGCCGTATCTGTCGAAGCGAGAGAAGACTGGAACGTAAAGATGATTAGAAGGAAACGGAGAAGGACGGAAACTGACGTTCTTCGAACGGAGGTTGACCAAAGCTTCGGTAGGGAAATTGACCTTGCTGCATGCGCCACATCAAATCGTGACTTCGAAGAATGTCGCCATGGCATGCGACATGACGACGGCGATTTCAGTTGCGACGGCGTTTTATGTGCAGCGTGCGACGGCTGTCGTCGCATCCTCGTCGTCGCAGGCTCCTCCTGCCTTTCATAAATACCTGATTCCCCAGCATCAGTATCATGCCCCCCCTGCCTGTCATTAATACCCGTTTCTATTCCATCAAAATGCGCATTCCTATCGATATAAATAGTGTGACGATGCTGCCCCTGTTCCTCCACCCACTTATCTACAGACCACCCTAATCCCCCCTGCTCCTGCTCCGGCTTATCTATCGGCCACCCTAACTCCCTGTGCTGCTGCTCCGGCTTAACTAACGGCCAGCCTAACTTCTCCTGCTGCTGCTCCGGCTCGTCTACCGGCAACCCTAGCTTGCTCTGCTGCTTGCGCATTCGCCACTCCAAGGAGGAGCTCATCTGTGCTGTCATCTTCCTTTGTAATGACGCAACGAGCTCGAGGTCATGGGGGCGGTTCGAATCTATCGCGGATGTCGAAAGAAATATGTGCGCTTTGTTGAGAATTAGAACAGACAAAGGCAAGATACTGCGAATAAATAGCAGCTATGAAGCTCAGTTGCTTGGCGTTTGACGAGTTGAAGACACTACTGGTAGTTTGACCAATTGAGCATTACTAGGTGATATCAATTCAGCGACTCTCACGAAATGGCAGCTGACAGCGTACAAAAATACGGAAACTGGAGATTGAAGCTCAGCTGGCGGACTAAAACCTAGAAATGCACTGCGATGCCAGGGTCGCTCTGCTAATCCATCGCCATGGACCTTCGAGGGATTCGAAACGGAACTGTTGAAATCGAGAACACGGTTTCAGGCACAGCAAGCATGGATACCTTCCCTCTAGACCTGCTTGTGCTCCAGTCAAACCCAAACAAAGCATCAGATTCCCCCCGTGGTGGAAGTTCCGCTCCCTCGAAATTGCCGTCACGAGGATACTGGAGCGCGGTGTGCCCGAAGAACAGTTCAGTGTCAAGATGAACTCAAAGGGTGAAATAGGAGGGTTCGTTAGTTTATTGAATGGTTGAATAAATTTTAGTTCGGTGAGCAAGTCGGATTAGAAGAGGCTGGTTTGGGACAGGGATGTGACGAATTTGGTTTGGGTGGGTCGGGGGAAGGGCACGCGTTGGCGGACGAGACGGAAAGGTATCGCGGAGGTGTCTCGGCGCGGGGAGAGAGCTGGCTTGGCGGGAAAGAGCCACTGCCCCGCCCACTGGAGTTTTGGGATGGAGGGGGTGAAAGGTGTCGGGTCGGTCCGAGAAAGGGGCTGGCGGAAGTCTTTGTCCTGCGACCGGAAACTTGTTGTTACTTGCCGCGAGTCGCTTGGCCGTCAAATTTTGGGGAACCGCCAAACGGGAAACTTGAGGGAACCGCATTAGAGGTCGGTGACTCGGTGATTGACGAAATTCTCGATATGAGCTCCCTCTACGACCCTCGCACATAGTCAACATCAGCATCTCACAAATTTGAAAGGTGATATGCATCATCATTTTATTTGCACTAAGCAAACTCCAGCTCTTTTGCGTTGAGGCATCTCAAAGGGATACAAATGTAGCATTCATAAGTTTAAGGCCATATAGCCTGAGAAAAGCCTGCCATTGGTGCTGCGCAAAACATCAATAAGCCGGTTCCAATTCGAACCAAGCATTCCTACAAAATAGTCGCACTCAGCTGCGATAAGCAGATTTGCGAATTTTACTGCAACCGTCTTGTCATTTGCAGAAAGGTCGCCGCTCCCATCCCCAGCTGCCACACCACCAGCCGGCACTGTCGGCTGTGATGGGTGCTCGGAATATAAGAAGCTCCAGTCACGCAGTTGCTTAGCCTCCTCTAGTGTAGACTGGATGCAACACAACACATGGTTATGTAACACAGGTTGAGAAATGCACATGAGGATGAGGAAAATCGGGGGCGGAATGAGATCAACACAAACCAAAGCGAAACACAACGAAAAGCAAGTGACGTACAAAGCAAGAAAGCATTGAGAGAGACCAAAAGATCGGGCCTCTCACCTGTGCATCTGTGCTTAACCAAGCATGATTGATGGTCGGAACATGCAGCTGCAGCTGATACGCAAAATACATGTACACTCCTAGCGACCTCAGCTTTACTCGAGACCCTCCTTCCGGTAAACCCCCCTGGGCTCCCCTTCCCTCCAGCACAGCGTCTCCATGCGCCACGTGTACGCTCACGATTGGTCGGAACATAAACACCTCCCCGCCGACTTCTTTATAGGTTTTGTCTATAGTGGCAGGTTTCTCTCCGTCCGTGTCCCGAACCAAACATCCAGCAAAGCCTTCCCCGGGCCAGACGTCAGTCTCCAGGTTTGGCGGAGCAAAGTTGATGCCTTTAAGAAACTCTGCTTCCTTGGTCATATTGAAATCTGGAATGCCTTTTCCCGATAAGCTGGTGCCCTTTTCGAGGGATTGGATGATGGAAGATTCTTCTGTGCTGATGTCAGATATGTGCACGGCCACTCGCAGGCCGTAGCTGACGTGGCGGATGCGGTTGATGACGTGGCAGAGGTGTGCGGACGGCCAGCGGAGGAGGAAGCGTGCTGACTGGGCGTGCCACCACCGATGCTGAGTCAGCAAAGGGGATGGAATCAGAAAGGGGGAAGGGGTGTCAAGATGGGGAAATTGAAGGAAGGGGAAAGGGAAAAAAGGGGAAGGGGAAGAGAAAGGAGAGGCCTTGTGAAATGGAAGACCGAGTGTTCAATATAACAAGTGCGTGAATGTAGTGAGTTCCACCCGGTGGTCCAGTGACATGCTCTGCTGCAGCGTCTTACACTGCTGGTCTGAGCTTCATCCCATCAACTGCCTCTCCTGCATCGTCCTCCCATCCGCCTCTTCCAGGACTCCCTGCACCTCCACTATGGATGGTCGGAATTGGTGTGACGAGCTACAGTGGTGCGGTGAATAAGAGTGATGCAGTGAGCCACGCCCTTGCATCATCACATCAACCAACGGCCTCACCTGCATCGTCCTCACGTCAGCCTCTTCCAGCACCCCCTGCACCTCCACACTGATACGAGTGGTAGTACTGTGCTACAGAAGTGGGGTGACTTATAGTGACGCACTCAGCCACACACTTGCATCATCACATCAACCGACGGCCTCACCTGCAAGGTCCTCTCATCCGCCTCCTCCAGCACTCCCTGCACCTCCACTGTGATGAGCATGGTGCTACTTTGGGCGTTGGTGTGTTGAGCTACAGTGGCGGGCACAGTGGCTTACTGTGAAGAAGTGGCCTCACCTGCATGGTCCTCTCATCCGCGCCTTCCAGCACCCCCTGCACCTCCACTGTGGATGGTCGGTCCCTCCACGGCATGCCCCACCGCCTGAGGGGGGAGGAAGAGTGAGGAACAAAGACAGGGGGAGCGGAAGAGCATACGACGCAAAGACACTCACAAGTAGCATGCAAGCCACACTCTTCCAGCACGTGATGGGGCGATTTTTGAGTCGACTCAAAAGTAACTCAAGCGTAGCATGCAAGCCACACTCTTCCAGCACCCCCTGCACCTCCACTGTGGATGGTCGGTCCCTCCATGGCATGCCCCACCGCCTGAGGAGGGAGAGTGCGGAGTGACAAGTGGGGGAATGGAAGAGCATCACCACAAAGCTCTTCACACACACACACAGTATGCAAGCCACGGGTAAATTTTCCAGCATCCCCTGCACCTCCATGGTTGATGATTTGTCCTTCAGCAGTGTGCCCCATCGCTGCTATTCTTTTCTTGTGTGCCTGATGAACGCTTTGGAAAGACAATTAGTCCATGTTAAGGATAACTTTTGTGTACCAGAGGGAGAGGGGGGGGGGGGGGGGGGGGGGCGGGGGAGAGGGGGGGGAGGGACCTTAGAACAGGAAAAACAGTTGTACACCACAACAGAGGGCTTACTCACTTGGCCCCATCCATGTCTTCAAAATGCCTTGCATCGGCGAACCTGACGACCAGGTCCGGCGAGGCCAGCCGAGCCTCCATGTCAGGTCCGTTGGCCGAAGCAGCTTGGTTGGCTGCTACAGCTGCTACAGCCTCATCCACGCACTCCTGAGAGGAGATTTGGAAGAAGTAGCACTCCCAGGCGCCCATGTGACCTGTGGCTGAAATGCAATAGGAGGGAAAAAGGGAGAGGGTGCGATATTTAAATCCTGCTCTATAACCACAGATGCAACAGCCTCGTCCACACACTCCTGGGAGGAGATCGGGAAGAAAAGAAGTAGCACTCCCAGGCGCCCATGTGACCTGTGGCTGAAAATGAGGGAAGGAGGATCGGATAAGAAGAAGGTATGGAGTTTTATCACCAGTCGTTGACTTTTGGAAACGTCACAGGCAGGAGCCTCCACCCGAGTGTGGTCACGCCGTGCAGCCATTCAAGAAGGGAGACAAGATGCGACCACCAGACCAAAGCATGATATCACTTCACAGCACATACATACCTTGGCACACCGAGTTGTTGGCTCTGGAATACGTCCCTGGCGCCACCACTAGCGTGCGGTTATGCCGCACAGCAATGCTCAGAAACGCAAACATGACTTGGATTTGCGTCCCCATGCCAAATGCCCCGAAGTCCGCCCCTGCTGCCCCTGCTGCTGCTGCTGTCTGGGTTGGACCTGGTGTCGGTCCGTCTACCCATTCCGCCAGCAGGATTCGCCTGCCCTTGCACGTGGCAGGGAACTGGCTCTCCCAGATGTCCCTCTGCACGACACGTGTCAGCGCAAGATTGGCCAGATCATCTCCACGGACCTGCGAAGAGGAAGCAAGATGGAGCACGAGACGGGGAGGGAATAGAAGGGAAGGTGGGCGTGATTGGGAGGGGAAGTTGGAGATATCGGGAAATCGAGGGAATTCGGGCGATTTCTGGGTAGTATACTGACGTGTCAAGAGTTGAATAAAGAGTGGAGGACTGCAGTCATCCAGACCCAGCTCGCTACTTATCCATCTGTACCAAACTCACCCAAGGAAGGTGCATTTTGAGGCGCCTCAAAAGTGAGGTGCATTTTGAGGCGCCTCAAAAGGACTGCAGACATCCAGACCAGCTCGCTACTTACCCATCTGTACCAAACTCACCCAAGGGGGTTGCGGGCTGCAGCTGCAGCAGTTGAAGGGGCGGGTCCAGTTAGAAAGAGGCACATGCATGGGGAAGAAAGCAGCCAAAGCGGAATCTAAGCGGAATGTCTAGATCCAAGCTTACCCAAGGGGGTTGCGGGCTGCAGCTGCAGCAGTTGGAGGGGCGGGTCCAGTTGGGCGCAGACCCGTCCGGTCCCCTCTGCTCCGCGGACAGGCGGAAGGCTGTGCGCGCGGAGCAGTCCTCCAGGTGCGGAGCTGGCGGAAGATTCGCGGGCAGCTCAAACTTTTCCGGAGGAGAGACGGAGTCGGGTTCTAGGCCGTAAGCCTTCTCCCAGCTCTGGGAATCAGCGGGAGGAAGGCCCGTAGGAGGAGAGGTAATGCGGAGAAATTAAGACTTCGGAAAATCAGCGGAGAGAGTTGGGCCAGAAGAGCGGTGAGGTGCGGATATGTTTCGAGTGAAAGGAGGAATTTGCGACATGTTTGTAGTTCAGGTTGACGCTAGGAATGGCACTAGATAACTCGCGGGGAAGAAAGGCGCTGGGAGGGTTTGTCGACACATCCTTGGAAGGGAATTGACGCAACGCGGAGACATGTAACTTACTCGATAGAGCGACATGGCATGTTCGAGCCCCACACCACCTAAGCTCCTTCTGTTATGCTCGTCCGAGGTGGTTCTTCCGCCAGAAATTGAAATCAACACCAGGATCAAAGAAAGCGCCACGCGTGGACTCGACGAACCCGATTTCATGTCGAACATTTTCGTTATTGTGAGGAACGACCAATTTTGGAATTGACTAATGCAGAGGGAAGTAGGTTGACATCGAGCAACGTCGCCCACTCTACTGCTGTGGCAAAGCAGCATGCTGGAAATGAGAACATGAACTCTCAGTTCGTGTCCGTAGGGTTGACATGTCAGGTGAGAGCGTGTCAACCCGAAGCGCATTCAAAATAGAGTGTCAAGCACTGTAGTGGAAGTATCAAGTCGATGCGCAGGTACGGACATCAGCGACGCAATTTCATTGGTTTGAGAATTTGTCATGGGTAGATCTGCTAGGCAACGAACAATTCATAACGGCCATTTTCAGGTGCATACAACTTAGCCTAGGAACGCTATTCAGGTGCATACCAGGTTGCGTACACTTTTCTCAGCTTCAACAATGTCTCCCGTAAATTGCCACGCTTTTTGATATTTGATTCAAATTGGCACAAAAGGTCTGAAATAGATGCAATCTCGGGCTACGCAAATTGGAATCGGAATGGTTGGCTCTCGATGCTGCATTTTCTGACGTCACTCAGTGCAATGATTGCATTTTTTTCCAATTTCTACGTAAATTTCTGTTTCGCACCAGCTCTTTTTGAACGAATCTAATGCTAGATCTGTTGTACTGTTGACGCAGACGACAGACGCTGCGCATGGCAAGTCAGCAAACCCTTCGTGAGTGTTTTAAAAAAAATGCCTCTACCAAAATAAATGATTTGCCGTACATGTATATTGAGATCGGTGGTCAGCCATGGTGTTAATTACGTGTCATTAAATATACATGTAACGTACGATATATCCTTATTAGCGGTAGGGGTAACTCCCTCTAGCACTCGGGCATGTTTCTCGTGTTTCGGATTACCCTTTCCAAGTAACGCTCATCCCATTAGGGTTTGCTGATTTGACCCGCGAAGCGTCCGCCACCTGCGCCAACAGAACAAGCGATTTAGCATTACAATTCGTTCATAAAGATGGTGCGAAGCAAAATTTTGCATAGAAATTGGGCAGAAATGCAATCATTGCACTGAGTGACGTCAGAAATTGCAGCATCGAGAGCCAACCATTCCGATTCCGATTTGCGTAGCCCGAAATTGGATCTATTTCAGACCTTGGTGCCAATTTGAATCGAATCTCGAAAAGCATGTAAATATACGGAACACATTGTTTAGCCTGACAAAAGTGTACTCAACCTGGCATGCACCTGATTAGCGTTCCTAGGCTAACTTGCATGCACTTGAAAATGACCGAATTCAAAAGACATGTTGTGTGCTGATTGGGCAGCATTTGTCGTGAGATAGGCACCTGCGACGATCTTCTCTCGTTTGTAGGTTTGTCTGTGCCAATTTCAAAAGTGTCCGACGATTTGTATTGGCTGGCAACCTGCAATTTCTTGACACTCTGACACTCTGCCAACAATGTTGGCAGAGTGTCAAAATGCCAAATCGACACTGCCCACTTTGACATGACATCCCTACGGACACGACCTTAGCGGAGCATTTTCAGGTGGAAATGAAACCAAGCGGAAGGATTCGCAGGGCCTACCACATACAACGGTTCAGGTTTGAGAACTCAACAAATGTCTGTACCACGGTCCACAATACGGTTCTTGTGTATCCAGTCAGATTCATTTCTGGTGTAATTAGTGATGTCACTCAAGGCTTTCTGTGTGGCAGAAGAACACAAGACCAATCAGAACTTGGCGTCGCGTCGAGGACCCGACACGAACGAGAAGGTTGATGATTCTGAACACGACCCTCGATTGCTGCAACTTCACTCCGATGATCCCTTGGTGGCTTATCCTACCATTCGGTTTGTGCATTTCATCAACGCTTTTGACCGTACATAGAACCTACTGAATCGCTCTCGACACATTTCAACCCTGGCGTACGAACGTTTTCGATTGCTGTGGAATACCTTAGTTGCCTCCTCTCAACAATGGGCGTGATACCACAGATCTAAATCACGCTGCACCTTGCGAGTCACGACATACTTCTGCTTTCTTTGTGGTTGAACAAGCGAGCCATATCTGTGAGTGTGAGGACCAGCTAGAGTTGAAGGCGGTCCTGCGTGTCGCTCATATGGCAAGCAAAAGTACATCACTGGACCAAAAATCGGCATCAATTGGCTTAACCCAAACTCAGCTGAACCAGTTAATGGCTCAGATTTACATCTTCGCGCACTTTAGGTGAGTAGTTTTTGAATATTTATACCTAAGTTCTATCTGAGGCTACTGATATCGCTTGAATCCTAACGTTCATAACTTCACAGGAAGACGCCGTTTTCCTTAAGCTCAAAGGTCCCCAACCACGTTCTAGCAGCTGCTGGGTGTGGTCTTCGGCATGAAAGGCCTTCTGAGCTGCGAAGCGTGTGTCATGATCTAAGCAGACTCATTGCGTGGAGCAGGAAAAGGAAGGCCAAAACGGCAGTTATTGAAGTTTGAGATCATGGAAATGTTTCAAGGCCCATGGCTCATCGATACTGGAAATGTTTGCAACTGGCTTTATTTGGGGGCATCTGGAGGTGAAGAGGATGTGCTTGAGGAGCATATTGGCAACTTCGATTTTTAGGGTCACAAATTGTAGCTACGTACAACAGTGGAGGACATATCTCTTGCTGCCATTAACAGACTATCTAAGACCTGCGCTAGAGTCAAGATGTAGATGCTAGCATTATGTACATATGCCAGACTTAATTCTCAGAAGCGACTCCCCACCCCCATCTCGTAATCAGGGTCGTTTCCACTCAAACGCAGGTCAGCGTCAGTGTGTGCATAATTCCCTAACTACTAGCTTCGCTTTTGAGTCTGACTCAAGAATCATTAGTAGTCAGCAGGAAAGGAGGCAATGAATTCCTGACAGTACGCTGAGCCTGGCTGTAATTCCTCAGGGCAGCCTCAATTCCCAGCATGTGACCCCACATGCCTCGCACTACAGCCACCCTGGTCAATTCCCGAGGCATCCCTGACTCCTCCTGGTGGTACGTCACTATCTCCACTCCCAGATTCCAACGATTCTGATCCGCATCGCCTCCATGACCCTCCGCATTGCCCCCCTGCCCCTCCGCCTCCCTTGCTTCCCCTTCCAGTCTGCCTCTTTGCCCCGCCAAATTCTCCCCTAACTCCGCGACCTCGCATTCTCGCCCTGGAACATATCGGATTCGCCATGAGGAGTAGAAGTATGGCACGCGAAGCAGGGAAGGCCGAGAGACGGCCGACGGGTGTGACGTGTGCCGGTTGATACAGAAAAACGTGTGACGAGCGACCGAGGTTCGAGGCTCGGGTGGAGTTTGGGGCTCTTGAGGGGTTCTATGTTTGGGAAGGGCTTTAGGCTCGGGAAGGGTTTGAGGCTCGGGAAGGGTTTGAGGCTCGGGAGGGGTTTGACGCTCGGGCGGGTTGTGAGTGGGGAGCGACCAGACGCGCCGCGAGACAACATACTCGCGATTGCGGAGGAAAAAGGGGAGACGGCGAACCCAGCGAACGACGCACACGCCAGATTCGTTCCAGTCTTCCAGAACCGTCGATTCGAGACGATTATCATCCCATTCCCCGCGAAACTCGTCGTCGAGAAGAAAGTCGCGCACTGCCTCCAACGTCACCCCCTCGACCACCATGCGACCGCGGTAACACGTGCTCTTCGGGTAACCATCGATCGCACAGTCGCTGGAATGCGACGAGTACTGCATCGTAGGCGTCGCACGCGTCATCAAGTGCTGCCAGCCGTGCGACTCTAAGGCGGCGTCTGGGATTCGCAGCCGCTCGAGGAACGACTGGAGATCGGAGGCCGTCACAGACGCACCGTCGCCGACATCTCCGCTGTCGAAAAGATCGCACGATGCGACGTTATCTTCCCGAAGCGGATACCTATCACTGCTTGTAGTACCTCTATCAGCACTTCTAGGAGAAGCGGCCGTCTGAGTCGCCTTGAGTGGCCATGGCAACGGATCCGTTCCTGTCGGAGACTCGCTGTCAGATCTACTCGTCAGACGGTCGGGCGGGTTGGCGACTTGTGGCGATTTTGCGATGACGCCGTCTGTTTCGAGCCCAGGCAAGTCGAAGTTGTTGTCAACTCCTTGACACCCAGTGCTGCTCGTGAAGCAGACTGACGGAGGTTGGACGTCTGGAAAGTCTTCTAGACGGAACCCGTCACTGTTAACTCCGTCAGAGTAGGTACTGGAGGACCCGTCCTCCGTGTCTGTCCATCGATCGTCCCATTCGTCGTCGCCCAATCCTGACAGTCTGTCGCTGGGCGACAGCGACGACGCTGACGGCGACTCTTTAAGCTCCGCGATCTGCGTCGCAGAGCCCTTATCTGAACTCAGCACCAATCTCTCCGCTTCTGGCACTCGACTCGACTCATTTGCTGCTGACTCCGTTTCGTATGCTCTCCGGCGCCGTTTCGTTGCTAGATCGTGACCGTGCCTGCGCAGCACAGCCAGCGTACCGTCGATGTCCCTTCGACGGAGAAACTCCTCGAGCTCCCAGTCCGCGTTCCCCGCTCCTCTAGCAGCACCCAAATCGGTCATTGCGAGGACGATCATGGCATCAATGGAGTGGAATTGAGAAAGGAATACTCAGACACAGCGGAGGAAAAGCAAACTTGCGAAGACCTCAGCCTGGCGTCGCTTTGAACAGAACCTGATGCTGTCGAAAACCAAAAGAAAAACGGCTCTTGAAAAGAAGGTTGATCCTAAGAAATGATGGTCTCAAACTCTATGAGATAGGTAGGCCTCTTTGAACCTTCTCGCATGGATCATCGCAGCCAGGCCCCTGTTAGGTGACGATTTTGATAAAGTCGTTGACTCGTGGTAACACTGTCGTCGAATGGCATCGTGAGTGAAGATCCAAGCCGACGATTCCTGGCATTTAGTGAACGAGATGCGATGCGATGAGATGCGACCACTGGTTCGCAGTGCTCCAGTTCTTCGCGCCACAGCTCCAGCTCCTGGTTTGGATCAACACCACGTGGCACAGCTGAGACGTACAGGATGCTTTGCGCTGACAAAACGGCTGGGACTTTTCCTGAGATCGCGAGAGGCCTTCCACGTAGGCAAACTCGCACAGCTTTCCCATTTCGAGTCGCAGCTGATTCATCAGAGGCACATTCAGCGAATATGCGCTACAAGACTAGATTCTGACAACCTTCAGAAGGGATATTCGGTAATTGACCAAATATAACATATTGTAAAATTTCATTCCCAACAATAATGGTTGAGAGGAAACCTGGAAATGTATAATAGTATGGGGGAAAAACAATCATGCAGACTATTACCATTAGGCAATAGGTTTTTGATTTCATGGCATATATATATGAATACGTACTTTGAATATATGACGCAGAATGTAGTTGATTATCTACAATCCCAAATTTCATGATAGCTAGTGCAATTTCTGGACGCATTATGGGGAAGTGCTGGAACTGATCTGAAGGCCTTTGACGAGGATGAGTTCTGCTAGTGAACTATTTCTCGAAGGAAATAGAACACCAAAATATATCATAAAGCCTACTAAGTCAGTCAAATGCCAGCCCTTATCTTCGCGCTGGCAAGTTGCCGCTGCGCAAGTCGCTATCCCAATCAGACCCGGAAACTTCCGACTATCGGGATCAGGGTAGAGCAATTAAACACAATTTTTCTAGGTCCTCCCATCTCCCGTCGATGTCAGTTTAGGCAAGAGACGCACGTAGCTGCTGGAGTTAAATCCGTCCAAGTCGCAGCAATGTCGGAGGGTGATTATAACGAGACTGACGTGCTCTCCAGCCGCGGTGCGCAACTAGCTGCCGAAGAGCCGTCAATGTACTATCAAGGCCTGGGATTTGCGCGGGAAAACCCGTACGACGCGAGGACGCGACCCGATGGTGTAATTCAGCTGGGTCTTGCTGATAACAAAGTGCGTGGTAAATTGCGGTAACATACGAACGATGAAATTTGAGTGGTAACATTCGAGTGGTAACCAGTGAGCCACGACCTGATTGTGCTATTCAGCTCGAACTTGCTGATTATCAGAGCAAGATGTCGCTATATGACAGTGGTAACCAGTGACCATCGAAAGTGGCAACCAGGAACTGTACCCGTCAAGGGTAGTCACCAGAGTGATGATTGCTCTATGAGGCGCCTTGCACGTAAACAAAACTCTTCATTCCATTATAAATCCATCCTGACCTGAGATGAGAGCAGAAGGGTCCTGACAAGTCGCCTCTCAAAGGAGTTTTGTGACTTAGACCCTCCCTCATATTGTCCTCAGTTCATCTCTTTCCTCCCCTCCCTCTCCGCTCCGCCCTCTACCTCCCAATCAGCTGTCGCTTGATCTCATTTCAGATCGCCTCCAGCGCGAGATGCCAGCCGTTGATGCCACGTCAGCCTATGGAGAGTTCCACGGAGACAAGCCTTTCCGTGAGGTAAGCGCTCTCCAATAACAAAAGCCAGGCAACTTCAACTGAGTTGGTTCGTTTGTGTGTTTGGTAGGTTGGTTGGTTCTGTCCTCACCTTTTTCTTTCCTTTTTTTTTACCCCTGTACCACTGCCATCAGCGTCAGCATCCGTCTCCTGCCCTTTTTCAACGCAAACTTTCTTTTGAGTCCACTCAAAAATCCCAAGTCATTCTGAGTCGACTCAAAAGTCAACCCCCGTGCCACTGCCATCAGCGTCGTCATCCGTCCGTCTCCTGCTCCTTTTCAACACAAACTCTCAATCTTCTCCATCTCCTCCTTTATTGTCCTTCATGCTCTCCTGTTTTGTTTCTCCTCCATTCTCCCCTTCCAACATCCCAACGTGAAGCGAGGTTGTTTTTGAGACGTCTCAAAAACAAACCTCGCTTCACCTGTTTTGTTTCTCCTCTGTTCTCCCCTTCCAACATCCCAACATTGATGTGGCCTTGTTTTCAGGCAATGGCTGCTTTCATGACACGTGCTCTCAATCTCTCCCACAATCGCTCGTCCTCTTCCCACAATCCGCACGAGCTAACCGAGATCGATCCTCACCGTCTGGTGATCACGTCTGGAGTCACTGCAGCCGTTGGATTGCTGGCCCATGTGCTGGCCGACGCGGGCGATTCGTTCATCGTTCCAACTCCTTTCTATCCGGGGTAAGCTCTGCTTCTACCTCGTGCTATCTGTGCGTCAACCCCACATTAGTCGTGTTTCTACTGGAGGGTTACAAATGCTTCTATTCTGGTTCATTCCGGTTTCCTTGTACTACTTACTACTCATTCCCCTCAGTCAGTCATCCCCACTCACTCCCACTGACTCCCCCTCTCCCCTTTCAACCTCATCCCTGGTCTCTGATTCGTCCTGGCGCACTCCTCCTCCTCACTCCACCCTGACCCCCAACATGCCCCTTCCTCCCACCTTTCCGTCCCCTCTCATTTCAGTTTCACAGTGGATCTTGAGCGACAGGCTGGCGTGACCATTATCCCTGCTGCCACCTATAGCGACACTGGATTCGATATTAGCACATCCTCCTTAGAAGTTGCTCTGAGGGAGTCTCAGGGGGAGGGAAGTGATGAGCCAAGGCTGGAGGGAGGAGGGTGGGAGGAGGATGAGAGGGCAGAGAGGAGAAAGGGGAGCGGAGTGAGGAAGGAGAAGGGAGGGAGGAAGGAGAGGAAGAGAGGGAAGGTTCGTGGTGTGCTGCTATCATCACCTTCCAACCCTCTGGGCCGTACCTTTTCTGATGCTACTCTTCTCAGCGTACTGCAGTTTTGCAGGTACGCTGAATCGTCGGGTATTATCCCTGATAACACGCATCACTTCTGTCGTAGTTGCTGTTTAACCTTATCGGACCTAAACTTATGTTGCCTTTTGCTGCTCTCTTGGTCCCTGTTGAGCTGCAAATTGCAGGGAAAAACGCCTCCATCTGATATCTGACGAGATCTATGCTGGATCAGTCTATAATGGGGATGGTTTCACATCGCTTCTGCACCTTGCAGAGCCTCAGGATTATCCCTTTCTGCACGTCGTCTACGGACCTTCCAAGGTGGGTACACTTTTAAGTACCGGTAAGGAAAAAGGGAGTTGACAGTTCAGAATAAACTACTGTGTACCTTTGTGTATGTGTGTATGTGTGTGTGTGTGTGTGTATGTGTGCATGTGTGTGTGTGTATGTGCATGTGTGTGTGTGTTTGTCCGTGTGTGTGTGTCCGTGTGTGTGTGTGTGTGTGTGTGTGTGTGTGTGTGTGTTGTGTGTGTGCGTGTGTTTCGCATGAGTAATCAACATGTCCCATGATTATGTCCATTCTCATCCCTGCAGGACATGGGTGTTCCAGGGTTCCGCATTGGTTCTTGCTACTCCCTCAACCCCACCGTCCAATCAGCAGTCACCAAACTCGCCCGCTTCTGCTCCCCCTCTCGCCACACCCAAGCACTCCTTGCCCCTCTATTGAGCGACTCGGTATTCACACAAGCCTACCTCTCAGAGAACCAGCGCAGGCTCAGAAAAGCCTCGTCTACAGCACAAGAAGCTCTGTTGCAAATAGGCGTGCCGTGCTTGGCTGGAAGCAACGCAGGAGTGTTTCTCTGGTGCGACTTTTGCGAGTATATAACGCCAAAGAACAGTTTTCAGGGTGAGGAGGAATTGTTTCTGTGGCTGCTGAGGGAAGGGAGGGTGAATATCACACCTGGGGGCGCATGTGGGTGTTGTGAGCCTGGATGGTTCAGACTGTGCTTTGCCTGTTTGCCAGAAAACGAGCTGTCAGTGGCTTTGGCTAGAATATCAAGAACATTACAGGCCTAAACTGTGGAACACACATTGTATGGTAAAAATTCCATACTAGAAACAATTAATGTTACATCAGATTACTAAGAACTTTGGCTTGAATCCCACTTGAATTCCTAATGTTCATGGGTAACCACATGGGTAACCACCACCACTAATGTCAGCTGTGCCCTCCTCCCACCTCCCAAACCTACAAAGTCAGCTCCATGGTCAATACTGTACTGGGTCATCGCCGCCACCTTATCCACTGTTTGTGTTGATGTCAGTGGAGAGCAGAAGTTTGTCCTGGGTTTCGGCACACAATGGCCTTCGTCAGCACTATTGGCCTGCATGGTCAATACTTGGGTCAGCACCGCCACCTTGTCTGCCATTTGTGCTGATGTCAGTCGCACACTGCATGCTCGTGTCTGTTGCACGGCCTGCTCATGTCACTTGCACGACTTGGTCACGTCAACTGCATGGCATGCTTATGTCAAATGAATCATATTACCGACATGCCATCCCATATCAGCTTACATGGCACCACATGCCCACATCAGCATGGGTTGCTCACGTCAACTACATGGCATGCTCACATCATGCTCGCGTCAGCTGCTCGGCATGCTCACGTCAGCTGCACAGCATGCTCTTATCAGCTGCATGGCATGCTCACGTCAGCTGCACAGCATGCTCTCATCAGCTGCATGGCATGCTCACGTCAGCTGCACAGCATGCTCTTATCAGCTGCACAGCATGCTCTTATCAGCTGCACAGCATGCTCTTATCAGCTGCACAGCATGCTCACGTCAACTGCACAGCATGCTCTTATCAGCTGCATGGCATGCTCATTGTCCTACGTGCCAGCATCACCTGCTCCTCACGCATGTGGCGGGGTCGTCTCGGCCTCTCCGTTGCGCTGCCATGCACTCTCCGCGCTTGCTGCAAACACCCAACCAGCATTTCCCGCCGCTTCTCCTGCAGCTGCTGCAGGTGCTGCTGGTGGTGGTGGTGTTGCTGGTGGTCTTGTTCCTGCTGCTGCAGCTGCATCCTTTCATTCATCTCATCCTGCTCCTAACACCTCTGCCCTTGCCTCACCAGAGCAGATTTCTTGCTGTGCAGAGGCCTGCAACTGCAGCTTTCCGAATTACTGCATCCATGCAGTTTACTGTAGCTACACTGTTCCCCAAGATTCTCACGGTTGCAGTTTCCGCCACCACACTTGCAGAGGCAGCAGCTGAAGCAACTCCGACTCGCAACACTGTCGCAACAGGAACCCTTTTTATTCAAATTGAGGGCCGGTTCATTGATAAAACTCGCGCGACACTTGCAAGAGCGGGGAACAGGTTCGACCCGCCAGCCCGGGGAAGACTTTTGGGCCGACTCAAGAAGAGAATCATCCAGACTCCTTCGGCGATTGCGGCGGTGGGAGATAGATGCTTGCAAAGATCCGGTCAGCCAGTCTTGTGAACAAAAAGAAATATTTCCTGGACAGCCAATCCGGCGCGTGGGTGGCTTATCGTGCAGTTCCTGGCCTGGATTTTGACAGTGACCTGCAAGGTTAGATGTAGGGTTATTTGCAGTTTTCAGTAGCTTTGGTTTTGCCCGATCGGGAAGTTTGAAGCAGAATGGTTCCTCAGACAGAGTTAGACCACTTGATGACGACATTGTTTCGTCAACTCCTTCCCCTCTCTGCTTCTTCTCCTGCAGTTGCTGCTGCTGCTGCTGCTGCTCCCTCTGCCGGTGTTGCTGCTGCTGCGGCTCCTGCTGCTGCTCCTGCTGCTCCTGCTGCCTTTCATCCACCACTTCCTTTTTCCGAGCCTGATACTGCTCCCACAGCAAGGCCTTGGGTTTGGCAGGGACGAAACCCTTGGCCCTAACTCTCACTTCATCTTCTGCTTCCTGCTCCTGCTCCTGCTGCTCCTGCTGCTCCTGCTCCTGCTCCTGCTGCTCCTGCTCCTGCTGCTCCTGCTCCTGCTGCTCCTGCTGCTCCTGCTGCCCTTCATCCACCACTTGCTTTTTCCGGGTTTGATACTGCTCCCACAGCAGGGCCGTGGGCTTGGCACGAGAGAAATCCGTGGTGCCAGACGACCAGCCTGGCACGAAACTTGCAGTCCCAACTCTCACTTCATCTTCTGCTTCCGTTTCCTGCTCCCACTCCCTCTGCTCCTGCTCCCACTGCTGCAGCTGCTGCGGCTGTTGCGGCTGATGCTCCTGCTTTAGTTGCCGAAAATCCTTCCATAAAGTGGTTCGGATCAACCTGCCTTGTATCCGAACCTCTTCCACACAGGTCGCCTTCAGCTTATTCTTCCCATTCTCCTCTGCTTCGCGAACAGAAACGAATTGTTGCGAAAAAATGTTGCCCCCTTCCTGCGTCTGGCCTTCGTTACCAGATGTTACACCAGACGCGCCGCGGGTTCCTTGGCGCAAGAGCGGCTCTGGTCCATTCTGCGATTCAGGATTGGTACCAGTCGAACTGCTTCGGCTCCAACCCTCCGTCGTACACGTGTCTCGACGCGATTGGCTCCAACGCCCTGCCAGATCAGCAGCCTCGTCGACTAGCTCCTTTGAGAAGACCGATGACGTGCCAGCGTTATATTCTAGGAAATCGGCGTTCCTACCAGCCGTTCGCGGTCGTTCGCTACCTTGGTCCCGCTGCTGACGTGGCCCATCCTCGGACGTCGAAACGAAGGATGACGTCGTAAAATCTTTGTCAACCCTCGCATCCGTCGCAACCGTCGCATTCGTCATCGCAACCCTCGCATCCGTCGCCGCGGCGGAAACCGCTGGCGTAGCGCGTCGAAGTCCCGTCGATGCCGCCGTCTCGCGAAACATCCCCCACAGGCTCCGCTGGGGAGCCACTAGCGGTTTATTCGAGTCATCTTCTAACGAACCCCGCTCGTCACCAACTCCCAAGCCACCGCGTGCATCACACGTCATACCACCACGCGTCGTGTAATCACATGCCGTAGAAGCACCACGCGTCACACCATCTCGGATTATATCCGGTGCATCTGACGCGGCTCTCCCGAACGTCACCGTCGAGCATTCTCGGACGGGCCGATCCGGCGAACGTTCCTCCGCCGCAGCGTCGACAGTTCCCAAGCATTCCGCCGCTTGAAATGCAGCCGCCTGAGGCTGAGACCGAGCTAACGCACGCGCTTCTTCGTCTCCTTCTCGGTCTTGACTTACGAGGCGCACCAAAGTGGAGACCGAGTCCGAGAAGGTGCATTCCGCCGATCGAGGTACAGCCTGAGGTTGACACCGAGCTAATGCACGCGGTACTTCTTCGTCCCCGTCCGCGTCTTGACTTAAGAGGCGCACCAAAGTGCATTCCGCCGATACAGCCCGAGATGCGTGCGGTACTTCCACTGGCACTTCGAATCCGACCCGATTTGCGAGGCGCCACGAGGAGCATTCAACATGCGATAATTTCACTGGTTCGGCCTCTCCGTCTCGTCCGCTGTCAAGGCCCAGGCAAACATCGCCGTCAGCACCGCCACCGGGAAACTCCCCGCGAAAGCCGCTGCGGAAAAGCCCGAGGGAACAGTTGTGGGTCCGAAACGCCGGAGAGTCGACCGACGCTGTTGCTGCCGTGCTTCCCGAGAAGAAGTCCGACCAAGCGTCGTCGTCTTGAAACGAGAGTCGCGGGACCCCCCTGAAGGCCCTCGCGAAATCGAAATCGTCGGGACTGTTGGAACGACTGCTGCGACGACTGTTGGAATGACTGCTGCGATGACTGCTGCGACGACTGCTGCGACGACTGCTGGAACGACTGCTGCGACGACTGCTGCGACGACTGCTGGAACGACTGCTGGAACGACTGCTGCGATCGCTACCGGCGTCGTCGTGCTCTGTCGCTTCCTCGCGGCATGATCCCGTGACAGTCATCGTCGTTACGTCTTCGCACAAACCGTCACAAAGCGAAGTCATTTTCTCGCTTTCGTCACTTTCGCGGTCTGCGCAGTCGCGGTTGAGTGAAATGGCTCCAGAAGGATGCATCAAAGCAGATGGTTGAACCAACTGTCGAAGTGTTTGTAGTTTATACGACTCAGAGTCGCTGACTGCGTGCATTATGACAACAGGGGACCGGATGAAAGTCTCGAGAATCTTTCTCTGCACTAACTCTTAAGTTCTCACTTGTGTTATGCCTCGAGACTCAGGGAAAGTGGAGCTAACTAGAGGACGTGACGTGATGCAAGATTTGCGGACAATTGTCAGAGCACTTATGGGGAGGACAAATTTATGCGTGGATTTTGAAACAGACAGTGCTTAGAAAGATACACAAGATGCCCAGCCCCTGCGCGCGAATTTGCCTTGCCCGCGATGGAAACTCTGCACCCGTGTATTAGGGTGCCAGCCAGTTGCACCCCATTTACAAGCACCTCGAGCAATACTAACCACAAAAATCGAAGTTTGACAGAAGAGACCAACGTCAAACGGTCAACAGAGAGTTACACTATCTTTTAAAAGCCCTTTTTGCTAAGTGCGAATTGACGAGAACTTAGCGAAATGCAAGAATCACTTACGAGCCCTCTTCACAAGGCAACCTTGGGTTAGTCAAACGGGCATGTTGAGATAGGTTGAGTGGAGGATTGGAAGTATGGCACGAATGGCCCGCATGAGGGACTGAACACTTGAAGCAGCCAAGTCAACTGCTTTCTGACAGTTACAGTGATCAGCTTGAAAACT